TTGAATGAATATTAGCTGATTAGATATACCTTATCAGTGCCGGTGTAAGGGTTTCATTCCCGACAATCCAATCGGCGTCACCGATTTACTATATCATAATTTTCATAAGGTAGTTTTCCTATAAAATACAAATTTTATTATAATCTAATTATGTGGAATTTAACTGAAGAGTTAAACTCCAGAAAATGAAAGCAAATATAATGTATATAAATACAAATTAGAGACATGCCATTATAGATCATTCCATCTTAAATAAGTCAACAATGTTGTGTGGTAAGTTTTAACATCAAAGAAATGAATAATTTAATGCATTTAACATTATTGACAAAAAAGTGAATTTTAAGTGCTTCTTCGAGACTTATCATGTGCAAAACAAATTTACGGATTTACGACAAAATCCGAGAATACTTTTTAATAGTCAGTAGTGCAGAATTTTATATGTAATGTGTATAAATGTAGGTAGAAAAAATGATGATAAGATAGCAAGTGTCACAAAGCATTGCCGAGGACCCAACGAGGATTGAGCCCCCATCCCGTGCCGGGCCTGTGCTATATATATATACACACACACACATATATATATATATATATATATATATATATATATATATATATATATATTACATTTTATTAAATACAAGGGACAAAGTGCTTTTATTTATTTTTTAATACAATTTCTCATGCGATCTAATAATCAGATGATAAATTATATAAAAACTGTCCGAATGTTCTTTTTATGCGAGCGCTTTCGGCTATACATTTACCCATTTTCAAGGATTTAATATTTTAACTGTTAAATAAGAAATAGTTTGTAACATGTATGTTTTATCAAATGTCTTCATTTTTCAAAACACAGTCAATGTTCAAATATATATATGCATATATATATATATATATATATATATATATATATATAGTGTACAAATTATAAACAACCTAGAAAAGATATCTGTATATTTAAGTATATAAAGACGCATTAATTTTCATCTAAATTGCAAAAAACTACAGCGAGCCTTATTTTTTCGAAAATCTCTAGGACTCCTTCTACTCGGGTTTTTGTTGAATGTCAAAATTTCGGAATGTTGGGATTTGATACAATAACATACAATTTTTTTTGCGTGAGTCCTCGTAATTCGACCCTTTAGAATAATCCTACGATTTTCATTGAAATATTAAAGTCTAGCAGAAAAAACAACGTAGTATCAACAATTACCTATAACTAGAGAATGAACTCTTCCTAACACTATGTATACTACGCCTTTTAAGAAAGAGGGTCGATTCAAGCTGAGCTTCTCGGCTTGGCGGTCGAACTCTCTGCCTCTGAGCAGAGAGGAACCCGGACGAGGCTCCGCCGAAGGGCAGAGTCTCGTTCAGGGAGGTTGACCAACCCGATTCTGTTTTTACAGTTTCTACGGGCATTTTTTGGCCGAGCCTACAGGCTTGGAAAACCCACATTAAACTCGGCCTTGTGCCATATGCAACCCTCCTGGGGGGGGTGGCTAGATACCGAATCGATTCGATCCGATAGTAGTTCACTCCAAACCAGACTGACAGTCATACTAACACCTTCCACATCTTGTATTATTATTTCGTGTAATATACCTTCGTTATTTCTACTCTTGTGTTCGTGTTGTTCTTCCTTGGTCTTAACCTGGACCATAACAGTGAGAAACCGTGAAATGTTGTTATAAAAATATTATAATACATATATATATATATATATATATATATATATATAGTTGAATGGAAATGATTTTGTGAGCGTCGGTTTTACGCTTATGCGAGTCTCAGACAAAGAGTGAAACTGAAGGTCACAAATTACAAGTTACAACTCACTATTCAGTTGATCTCGTAACACAAACTTCAGAAACATTATACCTCGTCGAAGTGCCCATAATTATTTTCTAGACATAGCTTAGTTGTGGCACGAGGCCAAAGGTGTGGAACACACAGTGCGAAATGAATTCAATTCTATGTAAAGCTAAAATATAAAATGTGAAACTCCCAAAAAACTTGGCTACTTACATTTCGCGCTTCATGCCATTATGGAATTTTACAATTATAAAATGATGTCTGTATCTAAATCGTTAAATTATGGTGAATTCCACCCTATTTTTGTCTTTTTTTTTTACATAGACTCTAACTTCATCCGGGTTCCATATTTACCAGAAAATATGTATACATAAGGATCTTTTACTCAGCAACAAACAAGTGGGTAGATTTTCAGGCCAGGTTATATAATGAAGCCAGCAGCTTACGTGTGTAAACATGACGATTTACACACAATATTTTTTATCTGTATTTTTCGTTGTTGAATAATAAATCATTGATGTTGAATGCATGTATACATACCAAAAAGTATTTGCTGGTAAATATGTAAATTCACATCCGGGTTAATAAAGTAATAGCATGGAGTCCGTCATATTTAAACACCAGATTTACGGGTGCCATTTTTATAATTGTAAAAGAACTATGACCAAAAGTGGAAACTTGAGTAGCTAATGTATTATATATATATATATATATATATATATATATATATATATATAACAGAAAAAAACATTTTTTTTTACCCAAATGTTAACCTTTTTTCGGCCAAGACCTTATCGGAAGAACCGATGTCAACTTAGTAATATTTTGCCAGAAAAAAAGTTTATCTTTCGGAAAAAAAATGCGATTTTCTCTGTTCAAAAATATTTAAAATTTCTGTGATATCAGATATATTCTTTAAATCGGAGTAGGCTCTTCCTTTATTTATTAAAGAAAATAATTTAAAAAAATGTTCCGTTTAATAAGCAAACGAAGCGTATACTTAAATACGATTACCCGCTAAAAATAAGGTTTAAAGTGATATATATATATATATATATATATATATATATATATATATATATATTTATTTTCTGTAGTTTACTGCTACCAGCAAGCAGAAATATTTCTTCTTCCGATGATAGCCATTTTGGCCGAAACTAGTCGAGGAATCTAAATGAAATAATAATAAAAAAAACGAAAGAATATTAATCTACAACCCAGTGTGTCTGAAGATTTTAATTTTTAATATTTTTTTATTCTTCAATATATATATATATATATATATATATACATGAATTATTCACACAAAACTAATGCAAAGGTTAATGATTCAAATGGCGAGACATCCATCATCGCAAACAATTCAAATAGTATACAAAAACCTCCAGATCCGTTATGAATGAATTGATCCTTGTTTATATAAATTTCTGCCGTATTAGTTGTTATTTTTACTACAAGCTTTCGTCTGTTCCTACAGACATCTTCAGGTATAGAGTAGATGTTATTCTTGTTTTTTCTCTTAGTAATAAGAGGACAACGAAAATATATGTGTTGTTGTATCCGAAAATGCTATTGAAAATGAGTTATTGGTTTTGGAACGCGCCAAAGCAACGCTGAGTTTGATTTTAATTTTTTTTTTTTTTTTTTATATATATATATATTAAAGAAAAACAGAGCATTTTAAGGTTCCATTATAATAATTTATTTCACCAGAGCCCTTTTAAGGGACGCTGGATCATCAGATAACACTTAAAAAATGAAATGAAAATTTACACTTTTGACGGGTAGTATCAAGTTTATGTAACTTAACAGAGAGGGTAAGGGGGAGCGATGTTAGAGACATGGTTGAGTTTAGAGAGGGTTTATTTTAATACTTCTTTCAATCATACTTAGTATAACATTATTGGGGTAGGAGGGACCAGACCATGGCCTATTTAAACGGTTAACTTAACGGAAGTGATATATTGAAATGGGAGGGGAGAAGAGAGAAAAAGAAAAAAGAAAGAAAGAGGAAGTAAAGAGAAAGAAGCTGTAATAAGGTTTTACGTAGGAAGAAGAGGGGTGGTATATTTTTAGCAATTTATGTAAAAAAATAGATTTTAATGTTTGATAGTAATTTACATGTTCAAAAAAAGAACCACTAAGAAATTAATTTGATGCTTGCTAGCAATTTAAATATTTAACTCTTTTACAAATAACTTAGGGATTTAATATAACTTAAATACTGATTAACACATTCATAGAGAAAACATTAAAATAATTTTTTAAAATATAACAGTTTACTGATAGTAATCTTTTAATATTGTAAATGACTGTTAAGGTAACATCTTTATCAGTTTGAATCTCATTCATGAAAGTAATTTGTAACTATTTTTAGATGGGTAATCTTCCTTACTTACAGTTTAGGTTTCAAATTAAGATGGAGTAATATCTGAAGGTAATATTAAAGATTTTGTTTTTTTGCCTTATACATATATCCCTTATATACACTTGTGTAAATTTTTATATGTCTCTCTCTCTCTCTCTCTATATATATATATATATATATATATATATATATATATATATATATATATATATATATATCATGTGTGCGTATTATCCCTACTTGTAATCATATTTGATGTATTTAATCTATTTCTGTATATATCTGGATATTTTTATTATTCTAAGTCAATGTGATAACAGCACATGCTTACGAATAAAAACAAAGTGAAAGAGACACAAATATACTAAACACACTTCAGAGAATTTGATTGCAAATTAAAAAAAAAATTGACTTTAAAAAATATTAAAAGTAATGTCAAAGGAAAAAAAACCACAAAAGTCTCTCGCATGTTGAATCAGAATTTGTAATTAGTCAAACCCATCTACAAGTTTCCGTAAATCCATTCTGCGTTGAATATTCCCTTCCCTGCCATTTCCCTGTTTCATAATTTGCTTCAACAGCACTTTTCTGTCAGTTTGCGTTATAGCTTTCTCTTTTTTTTTTTGTCTATTCTGGATTTTTTTCGCCATTGTCTGTTAAGTCATCCATTTTTATCCTGATTAATTTTACTTATACGTTCTTTTGATTGATTTATTTTCACCTTTTTACGCGCGTTAAACAAAACAGCTGCGGAAATGGTCGACTGTGTCAGCAAGCAGAAATGGATTAGTAATTACCAAAAATATTAATACAAAAGAACATGAAACTAAATTCTCAAAATATCTATCTATCTATCTATCTATCTATCTATTCGATTCTTTTCTTTCTTTCCTTCCTTCCTTCTTTTTTTCTTTCTTTCTTTCTAAGTTGCTGTCTTTTTCAGTTCCTGTCTGAGTCTTTCTTTCTTTCTTTCTTTCTTTCTTTCTTTCTTTCTCAGTTCCCGTCTGACACTTTCTTTCTTTCTCAGTTACTTACTGACTCTTTCTTTCTTTCTTTCTTTCTTTCTTTCTTTCTTTCTTTCTTTCTTTCGTTCGTTCGTTCTTTCTTTCTTCCTTTCTTTCTTTCTTTCTTTCTTTCTTTCTTTCTTTCTTTCTTTCTTTCTAATTCTCCAACTCTGACAGTAATCAGCCTTTCTTTCTTTCTTTCTTTCTTTCTTTCTTTCTTTCTTTCTTTCTTTCTCTGTTCCTATCTGACTCTTTCTTTCTTTCTTTCTTTCTTTCTTTCTTTCCCAGTTTCTATCTATCTATCTATCTATCTATCTATCTATCTATCTATCTATCTGATTTATGATTCTCTTTGCTTTTTCTCAGTTTCTATCTCTCTCTCTTTTAACGTTATAAGTATAAATAATTATAGATATGTTATTCTACATCAAAGACTATTTTATTAATACCAGCACACAATGTATTATACATAACTTTACAATGATATTTATGTATCCCACTCTTTCTGTAGTTGTTTGTCGTTTGTTTTTGTTTCTTTCTCAGTCTGTTTCTATCTATCTATCTATCTATCTATCTATCTATCTATCTATCTATCTTAAAGTTGTAAAAGCAGCAAAAATGTCAATTAATGAGTCCCCGCTGCACACCATACCAGATATCGCTTTTTTATTAATCGAACGCTGATTTTTTAATGATTTTTCACCTCTTTTTTTTTTTTTTTTTTTTTTTTTCGACGACATTTTACTAATTGCATTCAGTGGAGACGAATTCTAGTCGATTCATTGCTTGCTCACTTTTCGCATTTGCCTCATTTAATATTAATCAATTATCTATCTTCGATTTTGCTATAAGTTGCGTAATTTCCAACAATAGTCAACTTATGGACGACGGCCTGAAATGGTTTGCTGCATAGAATTATTTGTATATCAGTATTTTCGTCACGTTTTACGATTATACTCTCACAAACGCACGTACACACACAGACACACAGGGACACACATAGAAGCACACACTGAAACACACACAGACACGCACGCGCGCGCACACACACATACACACACAAACACACACTCACACACATATATATATATATATATATATATATATATATATAAATTCAGTCAAAATGTTATTATAAATATCAATTTTCTTGACAATATTGTTATCATTTCGTTTGCTTTATATTCATCAAATTTTGTTAACCGGCCTTTTAAATCTTTCGCACTTTGGCTGCTTGGTGTTTGTTTACGTTTGTAAAAACAATACGCTAAATTTGGCTCGTTATTTCGAGTGAAGATGTCTCAGTGGTAGAAGCTATGGCTGACACCAAATCCGTTGGGTTTCGATCCGAGCTTGAGGCATTCGGTTGTCTAATCGCACTGATTCGCTGTGATGTAGCAAAACAGTATTGTCTGTGAATGACATAATTTAGCTCTTGAAAATATATTTTTAATTGAACAGTGTTGAATGACAAGCTAATTCTAAATACAACGGTCACCTGCGTAAAAATGCGAAGCTCTTCAGTAAAATGAATGGAGCACTATGGCTGCTTGGCGTTTGTTTACGTTTGTAAAAGCAATGCGCTAGATTTGGCTGACTTATTCTGTTGAGTGCAGATGGCTCAGTGGTAGAAGCTCTGACTTTCGATCCGGGCTTGAGGCATTCAGTTGTCTTGCACAATGAGGAGCTGAGATACAGCGAAACAGCACTGTCTCCGAATGACATATATATATATATATATATATATATATATATATATGTGTGTATATATATATACAGATAAAGAGTATATGTATCGGAATCAGCATTGAAACGTGAATGTCAGTGTCACGTTTCAATGGATTCTTTAGGACAAAATGGGAATTCTCTTCGAACCTTGCGTACGTCAAAAAAATATTAAAGATAAACATTCCCGTAGCGTATTATCTATCGATATATATATATATATATATATATAGTCCTTAGGGAATTTCAACTTACTATCAAGAAGCTAATTAGAGAACATGAATGGATTATCATAAAAATTAAATAGGCAAAACATGTCTATATTATTCAGGTAAACACACACACACACACACATATATATATATATATATATATATATATATATATATATATATATATATATATTCACTTTAAACATTATTTTAGTGAATGCTCATATTTGAATAGACGCTCCATTAATTTTTTCAAACAGTGTATTTATTTATTTTCGTCTATCGGCCTGAGAAATCTTATTAATGAAAAATCTGCGCACGCCGACAGGATTCGAACCACTGCTCCACAGGGTCGTTAGAGCCATTGTGCTTTAGACTGATTCGGCCACAAATAACTTTGCCGATGAGGCTTGTCTAAAAAGAGAATCTCAGCGAAAAACATTTTATAGCTGTTTTCTATCAAACGTAAACAATGCAGTCTCTAAAGAAGTAATCGATTTTTTTATTTATTAATTCTACAGATCACTTTAAACGTTGTTTTTGTGAATAAATAAAATGACTGTTTAATGAAAATTAGAAATTTAGTAGACCTTCCGTTTAGTTATTAAACAGTGTATTTATTTATTTATTTTCGTTTACTGGTTCGAATCCTGCTGGAGAGCGCATATTCGTTTTAAAAAAATATTTTTCTTTAAAAAAAAACATTGAGATAGATATGAAATTTTTGCGAACTTAACATGTATGGAGTTTCAGTTACGCTATGAAGTTAGAAGAAGCTTTTCTCTTTGCCATTCGTACCTTGTCAGTAACACTGATAAGGCGTATCTTGATTCGGTCAAGTCGTTTCATACATTGTATGTTAGTAAAAATACTTGTAATTTCATGCCCGTCTGGACAGCCATAGTAAGTTATGGGAATATGTTATCTTCACCTGTCATCACCTGCGAAGATCTGTGAAAATACTTACATACAACATAGTAACTAGATAAGTGACGAGAGGAATGAAGTGTCGAGAGGAACTGGTATCGAAGGAATTACCAGTTTATGGATAAATTCATTTTTTTTACTAATGTACATCGAATACAAGGCCCAAGAGCCACTCAAGGTAGACTACTGTGTGGAGTTTTATTAATGTAAGAAAGAGTAAGATAACAGGAAAGATAGATAATTATTGACTTGAAGAGATCAAGATTTAATTAATGAATAGATTTCGAGAGTTCAAGCGGAGACGTTAGAAGTATAGAGTTGAATTAGATATTAGAAGGAAGCAGAACCCCAATACTAAAACGGAAACAAGCGATCAATCTCTACTCCTATGACTTGGGAGGAGTATGAACCGGACGATAGGCAATCCTGTCTATTCCTATTAAGAGAAAAAAAAACAATGATAATTATTGAATAATATTTAATATTTTAGTTGAAGACGTCAGAAATACAGCGTTGAAACAACCGGAAATCCAATCCTAAACAGGAAGCAAGGGATAAATAATTACTTCTGTTCAAAAATCTATGGAAGAAACTGAACCGGATGATAGGCAAAAATATCTACTGCTATTAGTGAACATAGTTCTAATAATAATAATAATAATAATAATAATAATAATAATAATGCTAATAATAATAATAATGCTAATAATAATAATATCTGAAAATATCTGAAAATAGTAATAAATAAGAAGCTTTTCTCTTTGCCATTCGCACCTTGTCAGTAACACTGATAAGGCGTATCTTGATTCGTTCAAGTCGTTTCATACATTGTATGTTAGTGAAAAATACTTGTAATAAATAATATCGGAAAATGTGCAACTTCTACGGGAAGGAAACTGAAAGAAACTGGTATGAACACCACCCAGACCCGGTTACGGAGATAGGACCTGTTGCAATTCTATGGGACTACACAATACACACTGACAGAACAATCAAGGCCAACCGCCCAGATATTGTTATTAAAGACCACAACCAAAAAAGTGCCTCCTTATTGATATGGCAGTCCTTGCTGACTGCAATATATCTTTGAAGATATTCAAAAAGTTATCAAAGTACAAGGACCTTGAAATAGAAATCTCGAAAATGTGGCATATGGGAACATCAACAATACCTGTTGTAGTTGGAGCCCTAGGACTGGTTGGAAAAGATTCCAGTAGACTCATTGAAGGGATTCCTGGAAGTCCATGCCTCAAGGTGGTACAAAAAATTGTTCTGACAAGTACAGCCCACACTTTACGAAGGGCTTTATCTATGTATTTTTTTTTTTGTCAGTGGAAAGTGTCATGACGCCATTTCTAACCTTAGGTCCCTGGGCGGGACCCGGAAAGAAATGTGTAAACGCCAGAAATCAAAGAAAATAAAAAAAAAAATAATAATGGTAATAATGCTAATAATAATAATAATAATAATCATGATGATCGCATCTTCTTCTTCTTCTTCTTCTTCTTCTTCCTCTTCTTCTTCTTCTTCTTCTTCTATGTGCTGTGTCCATTCAGGAAGTTGATCATGGCTCTCCAAAATTTCTTGTCCTTTGTAAGTCAAAATAAATGTTGCCTTTTTGGTATCCCTTCTGCCGTCCAGTCATTCAAACTTGCAGATAGATTATGTTTGTTTTCCTCTGTCACACTTTCCTACAATCCGTCCTGTTAATATTTTTTGTCTTTTTCCTATCTCACCCAAACCCTGCTTCGCCAATCCTTCACTCAATATCGCCAGGTAGGTCATGTGTTGTTTTCCCCTGTCTCTCTTGCCTGTCCTGTGAGTATAAATTTTTCCAAGCTCTCTTTCCTCAGTATCTGTTCCATTAATTTCAATTAACTCTTCCTGATGTTAGATATAAGTGTTCGTTGTGTTTCCATTGTCTCTAGAACTTCGTTCGGTCCATGGTATTCTCAGCATCCTTCTGTAGTATCCCATTTTTCTTGCTTCAAGTCTATTCTTCATCTGTGAGGAAACTGTCCAGCGTACACTTACTGATATTACGGAACAGTTCAGTACTCGTTTCTTTGTTTCAAACGATATTTTTTTTGTTTCTTAATAATTTTCTCAGATTTTGGAAGGCATCTTTTGCTATCCCAATGTGCTTTCCGATTTTGATGTTGCACTTTTCGTTCTCTGTTCATACACTTCAAAGACATCTAATAGTCTCATATGCTCGCTGGCAATATCAATTGTTACTTATAGATTCAAAATTATAAAGGGAATTCCTCTTAGTTGCTGTTGTTCCCAGGTCCACCCTGATCCGGGATGATAGAAACTGTTATAGTCCTAGCTATGGGCAAATAGTTAACCCCAAACTTTGGTCAAAACAATATGAAAGTATAAAAAGTTCATAGTAAATAAATTACCAGCAATATATTTTAAAAAAAAATTAATTAAAAATTTACGAGCAATATATTTAAAAAAAAAAATGAATTAAATAAATACTACCAATATATTTTTAAAAAATGAATTAAAAAAATTACCAGCAATATTTTTTTTAAAAAATGAATTTAAAAAATCCAGCAATAAATTAAAAAAATTAATTAAAAAAAAATACCAGCAATATATTAAAAAAAAATGAATTAAAAACAATACCAGCAATGTATAAAAAAAATGAATTACAAAAAATACCAGCAATATTTTTTTTAAAAATGAATTTAGAAAATTCCAGCAATATATTTAAAAAATTATTAATTAATTATATTAAAAAAAATATTTTAAAAGAAAATGAATTAAAAAAATTACCAGCAATATATTTTTAAAAAAACAAAAAAAAAA